TCAGGGCAGACAAATAAATTATTCTCTTTTTTGTTGCATTTTGTATAGAGAGTATAGAGAGCTCTTGTTAATTATTGTCCTGTTAATATTCCAATTACAAAATATTTACTCAAGCATACAGAATAATTATTTTCAAAGGACACAGTTTTAGAGATTTAAATAAGTTTAACATTTGTTGTTTCTCCGTTTTAATTGAATTCACAAAGTTGTTTAGACAGATAACAATTTGCTTATGATTATAAGAGGTGCACTAATATTGTAATTGAATTGTTTAGTTTAGAATGTTTTTGGTTACATTTCAGTTTAGAAATACTGCATACTCTTACTAAAAAACATGCGTAAACATTTTTAAGATATATTAACAAAGATAAAAGGATTTATTTTAATTGTTATTTCGTTTTTCGGCTTCAATAAGCATAAATGGGTAAACAAATAACCATTTCCTAGAGATATTTGTATGTATAAATACCTCGTAAGTGGATTGTTGTGGCTATGTTGTATCTTGGTAGGCTTAAAATTATATATCTTTATAGATGGATTATTTTTAAAGGCTTTAAAATATTCAAAAAAAAATGTTCGAAAAAAAATTAATTGCAAAATCCACCATATGCGAGGCATAATGTCTTCGATACAATTGTGCACATACGTTTTTTTCTTTCTTGTTGCATTCCAATATTTCACTTTCACCCAATTGAGTTCATAATAAAATTGTACAACTGGTCAATAAATGTTTAAATTGAATTGCCAATGCAATTTTTGTAGCCCTCTCCATGGGATTTTAGATGCATCCAAGTGGGAAAAGAAAAATACAACCGATAAGAATTGACTAATGAAAAATTAATATTGATTATGAATTCTGCCCATAATTTCAGCTTTAACACGATTGCGGCTTCTGGGATATTCTTTCAATATTTCCACAATTTTGTAGTGTCGATGAACACTATAAATCAACTGTCAATCAAGAAATGCTGAATAAAAGAAAACACAACTAAACTTGAATAAAGTTTCAGCAAACTTTACTTTGGCTTTTGGCCTCCTCCTCAGACGGAAAAACTCGAGAGTCAAGTTGGCCACACCAGAGTCCAGCCTTTTAGCCTCCCCACTCGCTGGGAAAGGGCAAAAAAGGATGCTGCCATCAGAATGGACGCTAATTAGCGTGCAAAGTTAAATAAAAATCAGCGAAAATTCCGCTTTCAATGCAGCATGGCATATGGTAAGATAATTAATTAATACTCACTCGCCTGATTGGTGAAAAACGATAGTCGAGGCAATTAGCCAAGTTCTGGGCCCAGGCCAAAGGCAAACAATGATGAACCCTTGCCGCCGCCTCCTTCTCGTCCTTCCCCGCAGTTCCTTCTATCTCTTTCCCCTGCTGTCTTGCTATCTCTTTTAGCTCAGATGCAAAGCTGTTGTGGGTGGTGGTGCCACATACATATATCCTTATCCTTTTATTTCCTTCACTCGGCGAAATACAAGTTCTAAAGTTAAGCAAAATGCGAGGGATTATAGAGAGTATTCTCTTTAAAATTAATAAATTAGTATTCAAATTAATTAAATTATTATTTATTTACGATTAGATAAAATACTTTTAAAGTAGAGAAAGATTAGTAGAAAATTTTGTATAGTAATATGAGAGAGTAAAAGAATAACTTAAAATTCTTGAAAATTATTTTAAATATTAAAAACATACATTTTGAGTTATGATATCGAGCAACTTAATTTAATATTACATCTAAGTTGTGAAAAATTAAGTGAATTTTTCCCCGTGTTTGCTTTTTCGCTTTGTATTCGAAACGCTTTTCTTTTTATTTTTATTTTTATTTTATATTTTTTTTTTTTGCTCAGCAGTCTTTTTCCTTTGCACTATGCTCTCACGATTTTGTTGCCTTTGTTATTGTTGTTTTTTGCCGGCTTGCTACTGAGCTTGTTTCTTGAAAAATAATGACTGCACATTAAGTGTGTGTCTGCACACACACACACACACATACACACGCTGGGACAAGGCAAGTAAAATGTCAACAAATGACAACAGAAATATGATGCAAATGGCTCATGTAAGTGGTTCTTGCCGCCGACATTTATAAAACAGGACAACTTACAATGCAACAACAGCAAAGCGAGCGAGAAAAGCGGAAAAGTGGGAGTTTGGGGGCTTGCTGTCCGTTGTATGTAAGCCCGAGGAGTCGGAGCTTTTCCATTTTACTTGCCAATTTTTCATTTCTCATTTCATTCCGCCTTTCACTTATAAATTCCCAGTGAGCTTAGAAGGGCGAGAAGCAAGTGGCGAGGGCGACATTCGCTTAATGCTGAAATTAGCCTTAGCTTAAACATTGCGCATACGCCACGATGGTCGGAGGAGGAGTTGGCCCCGGAACGGGAGTCACTGCCATTGAAATGCCTTTCGAGACTCTCGGCTGCAATTAAAAGCGCATTTAATAGAAATTATTTGAGTGCAATCGCATGCCAAGGACATCGCAAGTACAAAGCCCTTGAGTGCCGGCTCATACCTTGGCCATACTTTTCCGATTGCCTTGCAAATTTGGATGCCTCGATAAATTGTTTGCTTGCACGGAGAGAAATATAATTTTAAGGATATTAATACAGTGTTAAGTTCGTTAAACAACTAATTTATCTCAGATTATATGTTGATTGTAGCTTCATTTCCAAAATGTAAAAGATTTTTATTGTGTGTCTGGAATCAAGTCTCAAGGCTTAGTGGGAATGCGATTGCTTTCACGGACTATGTGGCTAATCAGCGTTATGTGCGTTAAGTCAACAGCCGCATCAACATTATCATCATTATTTGTACAAAATGAAACCGGCCAAAGCCGATGCCAAATCCAAAAGCCGCACACTCACACAATTTGGCAATTTGTGGCAAACAGCGGTCAACAAAAAGGCATCCCGGATGCTTTGGCCAGGACTCTATGCCCTGCTGACATTCGGTTAGTCTGTCAGGGCGTCAGTCTGTCAATCTGTCAGTCATCTAGCCAGATGGTCAGTTGAGCAGTTGGTTGGATTTTGGATGGTCCTGGACGCTCCTCCACTCGACCACATTGGTATTCTACGCTCGACGCGCGCTGCTGTTGCCATTGGTCATTGAGGCTCACTCATCCTTCCATCTCCACTCCTGGCCACTAACGATAGATGTCCTTAAGCCAACACACACACACTCATCCGCCTCCCCTCTCTACTCTCTCACATATTGCTATAAAAAAATATTTATCTATATGGCGATATATGGGCTGCATGGCTGCTATCTGGGCAACTTTGTCCAAAAAATGTTGCTCCTGCTGCTGCTGCTGCTGCCGCTTGCCGAGGAGCGCTGCTTTGTTAACTTTTTCAGTTTAATGAAATCAATTCACAAGTCACGTTGTTGCTGGACAATAAATACATCAGAGTCCATTTAATAAAATCATGATGTGCACTTTGGGATGATACCCGCTCGCACACACACACATATACATCATCCATGGTTGGCCGGTATCGATTCGTAATATTGCAAATAACTTTCGGCTCTCATTGGAATGCCGCATATGGCCTGTATACTACACATATATGGCATCCCCTTGTATCCCAACCATCCCAATTGCTCGATAAGTGCGCGGCAGTGCTAAAACTTAAATCAAAATCCACATTGAGCCACTGCAGCGAGGCAGTGGACCACCGAAGGACTCACTGGCAATTTGTTGCGGCTTCTGGCTTACGTTCTCGGTTCATTATATTGATCTGTGACTTGCCTGTTTGGTTTACGTCTTTCGCACACTCATTTTTATTTGAGTGCCCCGGGAATCCAGAACTGATGAGTGGGCAGGCCGCTGGCTGGGTGGATAGGTGGATGGATGGATGGATGAGCTTCTCATACAACAATTTTATGAGTGCATCAATTAGGGGAAATCTATGGTAGCGCCGACAGGTATTTGGTATTTGATATTTGGAGAGATACCAAGGTTTTTCAGTATTGCAATTTGCAATTACCAAAGTAGCCAAAAGCTGTTTTTTTTTCTTAGAAAAACTCCGAGATATTGAAAACTATGTCAATAAACCTTTACTTTGAAAACAGTTTTCATGACATAGTCAATTGAAGCTTAAAGCAGGCAGTAGGATTTTTAAATATGTATAGCGATTTCTAGTTTACTATTTGTTGAGTATATCTTAGGTCCTTGGATTGAAAAATTGAAAAATAAAAACTGAAAATTTATTTCAAATTCAATTTTTTTCTACAAAAATCCATTCCAATTTTAGATAAAGGAGAACAACCGAGGAACACACCATATAATCTGTAACTATTTGTTACCTGTTTAACTAACTCAATTTAATTAATTATCTCCTTTCTACTATTTATATTTCTTAGAATAATATACTTTTTCCATAAACATTCTTTTCACAGATAACATATTTGTTATCAATTAATTAATTAATGATGAAGTAATCAACAAAACATATTGCTTTACTACAAAAATCACTAATAATAGTCTCCTTTGTTCTTTGACATAATATAAACAATGAAAGTCCCTCTGGCTTACTGTCCCCACTATTTGGCAATATTTTCATAGATTGCCCGCTTCTGCGCACTCTCGCCGAAACAGCTGTTAAATGGAAATCCTATTCCCGTTATTAAACGCACAAAAACAAGCCGAGGATGCAGGTTTAGGTACCCTTTCCTTTTTACCAACTCCCAACTGTACTACGCCCAGCTGATTCCGGGCTCTTTCGGAGCATTTCTCTTGAACCTGACCATAGGTAACCGCGAAAGCCTTGCCACCAAACACGGCGAATTCGAGGGCATTTCTCTCTTAGCCGAAGTCCGGTCGTGGCCACCACAACTGGCATACGGAGAGACGAAGCCCAACGAAGGCGGACGAGAAGTGGAACTCGGCTGGCGAACGAGACGATGGCGGAGCCGAGGCCGAGCCCGATCCCGATTTCTGGGTGCGTGTACACAGCCTCCGTGCATATCTGATGGCCAGCGAGGAAATCAGTCAGATGCGTGGCGAACGTTGAATTTAACGGTCGGTTTGGCAGTGAAAGTGGAAAGTGGAAGGAATCGCCTCGCTCAGCGAATGCTTTTGTGCGCAAAATAGAAAACACCAAGCAATCCCCCCGCAACAAAATAAAATACAAAAAAATATATCGAAAATACAAGTAACGAGGGAATATGAAAGTGAAATAAAAACCGGCAGCTGAGGAAAGTTACATCTCTTGGATTAAATACCGAAATGAAAGTGCTTGTCTAGTAAATACTCTGTAAATATAAATTCACCGAAACCCGTTCGTTCGGCTAGAGGAGAGTTGGAGTCTTCAAATTTGCTGGTAAATTATTCAAGCAAGTTTATTTTTTTTTCTGGCGAACGGCAGCCCGAGAGGCTGGATCCTGTTTCCAGGCTCCTGTGCCGCCATAAAGTTATACAAATTATTGCCTTTTTGGATGGTTTTATTTTCCGTTATTTTTTTTTGGGCGGGCTTTAAACTTTCGGTTCACGCAGCGCTCGCATTAAATTTCCTATTTTGTTGTTTTCCTGCCTTTTATTTCCTTTCAGCTATTTCGCGTGGCACATGCGGCGTATACGCAATGGCTTCGCTTCTATTGTGTCTCTGTGTGCGCGCGTGTGTGTGTGTATAACCTACATTTCTGTGGTCCTTGTTGTGCCTGACAGACTGACAGTCGGAGTGGTACGAAAAACCGGGGATCTAGAGACGACCGTAACTGTGACTTTGCCAGCTGCGAGTTAATTTTATGGATTTACGCCGCCTGTTTACTTGGCTTAAATACTGACTGATCCACAAGTTGGCGGTGCTTTGTATTAATATTTTTATTATGACCAAATAGTTTGGCGTGAGTTTTTCGGCAAACTTGGTCCGTCTATATATATATATAAATAAATATATAGGGGATGGACGGGGACAGCCGGCGTTTGTCTTCATCAACTTGGGCTAACTTTTAGCAAGTGATTGTTGATTTTGTTTGATTTGCTGCTGTTGTTTTCGTTTGTTGCTGTTGCCTTTATTTGATTTTAGTACTTTGGCCAAGTCAACATTCGTTAGCAAAAATTTCTCTCACGTTCCATTCGACCGAGTTCTCGATTTCATGAGTTTTGGATGCTGGTCCGTGGATGCTTCTATTTGCTTCTCTGTTCCGCCGCTTAGCCAGACCAGTTACCAGTTTGTATATGTATGGGTGTATGTAGTGTATGTGCTTGAAACAGTGAAGAAAATTAGGTATGGTATTGATTACATCATTCTTTCTTAGCATTTTCCCATAAAAATGGATTAATTAAGAGACGTCATCCGTAAAGTAACATCCTGTGATATTTTTCATTTTTTAAATAAATATTTAAAATAATTTTTAAAAACGTGTACTTGAAAATATTAGCTAATATTTTGGAAACCTGGAATATCACCTTACCTAAGCCAGGAACTCCTGGCTTGCTTTAAAGTATATAATTTTTCGATTTCCTCCTAGCAAGACATATTTTTTGATTACACGTTTTGCTATCCTCTCAGTGTACTCCTTTTCCGACTCTTTCCGAGGGTCCTGACACTCTTAGTTAGCTTTTCTCGCCTCATGCACTGTGCATACTGTCCGGAGTACACAAAAATAAGTATATATACCCCACAAATCGGTCGCATATATGCACATATATATAGTACGCACTGGTTCGCTTTAGTTGCTGTGGTGAGTGGAGCTAAGCTGAGCTGTCCTTAAGATTATTTATGCGGTGATTAGCCGCGCTGAATTATTGCTGAAATTATCAAGTGTGCTATAAAATTTCAGTGCCATTTATTTGCACAACTTTTGGCGGGGCTCACGTACTAACCGAGCGTACCCCCAAACAAACTCATCTCCTTTTGTACTCCACTTCACTCCAAGCTCCGTTTTGTACACTCCACGTCGAGCGACGGCTTGGCGTCTCATGTGTATCGTTCAGTTGGGTTTGGATTTCGGGATCCGGTTGGGTTTTGGTTCGGGTTTCGTTCGTTCTCGGTGCGTGCGAGGAGTGGTTGTAACAAATTGCCAGAGTTTGATTTTTAAGTGTGAAATATCGCACAATGAAATTGGATTAATTACGCTGGGGCCTCGCGTAGATTGCGTTGGCTTCAAAAGCCAAATTCGATGGGAGGTGGAGCCTTTAAAGTTTCAGCAACCGAATTGGATAGGTGAAATGGCATTCAATTGGGTTTAAATTGAAATGAAATAATATAAATTCAATTATATACAATTTTCGTGATAATCTGATCATTTAAACAGAGTAAAGCAGAATCAGTTCATCTTTTTAGTTAGCAGTAAATACTTTTTCCTTGCCAAATACCCATGCTTAATTATAATTCTCTAGCCAGAGCTGATTATTTACTTATCTTTATTATTTATGAACCCGCCAGAGATGGCCAGTAAGGAGACTACTACTAAAAATAAACCGTCTTGTAGAACAAAAGTAGGATTATCCTCTTGGTTCAGGGAAATGAGATTTTACCAGGAGCCTGTCTGCCTGACTTCCTCCCACTTAGCAGGCAACTAATTGAGTGAATCCCGAACCTGAAATACCAATTGGAAGCTGAACCTGCGGTTGGTCCAAGGCCTGAGCTTTGCTGAGATTAATTACATTTAAATAAACACGAATGGCTGCAAACATGGCCAAGACCGCAACAGTTACATGAACAATTCAACCGAACAGACAACAATAGACAGCCGACAACTCTCTCCCTCTGTCTGCAACTTTGCTCTGAATTCAATTGAATTCAATTCCATTTCGGTCTTGGCGGCTACTTTAAGCTGATTACGGCCAGATTCAGAGAGTTTCGACCGAGTTATATGCACAATGCGCACAAACAAAATCATTAACTTTTGTTGCAAAACCAGCAAATTCCACTTAGCAGGCAAATGTTGTACATTTGATGAGGGTAACAGCATCAGATGGAGGTAATATAAACAGCAGGGTACGAATTAATAGCAGCAAACCACTAAGTTGCCATAAAAGTAAATTAAATATTTGAATGAGGACAGGATCCGAAATTAGTGTAATTGTAAAGTTATTCTTGTGAATAAATGGATTAAAAGATATTTTAAGAAATGTTTTCAAAACTTGCAGTAAAACTTTATTGCAGTAAAGATTAATTTTTAAGATATATTTAGTTAAATAAACTACTTAAAGATACTATTCCCTTGCCCCCAACTATACATGTTATTGCTTGGGCAAATGAAAGTCAAAGCCGGGTTTAGTGCCGGGATTAGTGATAGCACGAATGAAGTCCATCTCCCGAGCCGTTTGCATATATGGCCAAAAGGCCCAATGATTTATGACTGGAGCGGGCCGTCGGACAGCTCCGAACGCAGTCGGGCAAACTTTTGTCCCGCTCACAATTGGTGGTGAAAAGCGTGAAAAACAGTCGGCCACATGGAAAATCTCAGTGTGAGTTGGGTAATGTGGGGAATGTGGGAATGCGGCAGAGTAAATTCAATTTTACGTTTCACAACTCAGCATGATTTCTATCAAGGCTGGGGAATCCCCCGTACTGCTCCGCATTGTGTACCGCAAACTGATTGCTTTCGGTGGTCCCTCGACTCTGTGTTGTTGTCTGTGTGTGGCTGGGCGGTCTCCTGGTCTCCTGGTGTGTCTGCGTGCCAGTGTGTTAGCCCCCAAAAAGCAGGCTGCATGCGAAATATATATATAAAAAAAAAAAATCACTAAAAACTTGTAAAAGCATCAAAGCGCACTTTCTGAGCTCTCAGCTCGAAAAAGTTGGGCTTGCCTCTCGGTCCTTTGTTGTTGTATCCTTAGTGTTTCCTTTACCATATTTGCTGGCTGCCATTGTTGTAGTTGTTGTGGAAAGTTCACAACTTTTGAAGTGAGTTTTGTGGGCGGCTTTTGGGGCTAGCTATTGGCGAAATTGCTTTCTGATAGCTTGCTCGTGTATTTATGCAGTTTTAATGAGCGCTGCTTGTTAAGAGCTTGTTGTTAATACAGGAAATTAATAAGTTAAGTAGCCATTAGGTGGCTAAGTGAAAAGTTCAATCGCCGAACGAAAAGGATTTTACAGCATAAAAAAAAGAAAATGGGATAATGGATAAAATGGCTTCAATGTTTCTATCCCCTTTATACGATTTTTTAATATTTCATCAATTGAAGGTAATAAATTCTTTTCAGTGCCGTCTGAGTACAAACACAAGTCTGAGTTTTCCTTTGACGCTTTGATTTTTTCTATTTTTGTGACTGGCGCTTAAGCCGCGTTTTATTTTCACTTGAGGCAAGTGCAGTCATCTGTGAAAATATTGGCAAAACTCAAACAGCGCCAGCATTTGACATAAATCCTTATTATCCCTTTGTGCACAAATTGACATTGCACTTGTAAGGCGATTGCCGAGACTCTGCTTGACATCGCTCCTGCTCTGTGCCAGGACCCCTTTCTACCCCGGCCACCGGACGTCCCTTAAGTTATACTCTTATCTGCGGCTTTGTTTTCACTGGCAGGGCCAGTGCAGTGGGAGTGGCATTAGCAGCAGTCGACAAATGCAGGAAGCCCTGGAAGCCCTGGAAGCCCTGCTAGTCCTGATAGTCCTGATAGTCTGTTTCGTCCTTGGCACGTCTTCGCACTTAATTGAGGCTAACACACCGGTACACAGAAACAAAAATAGATAGAAAAAGTAGAAAGAAAATGTAATAGTGAGATGTGTAACGTCCTACAGAAGGATAAATATTTGTACAAACAGAATATAATTCTTTGCTTTAAAAAGTTTCCGGTATATACACATTTAAGGTATACTCTTTGCCCTTCGCACGCTCCACCTCACCTAATAATAAACAGTTTACGGCCGTTGGCTCAGTGTACCCACTCTCGCATAAAGTGCACGAAATTAAAATTCATAATGTTGACTTTAATGGGGCTAATGCTGAAATATCAAAGCTGCTGGCTTAGGTGCCAGCGAGCACATCTCATAGATTAGCCGGAGCTGCCATGTAAGCGGAGCCAAGAAAATTCTGGCCAAAAGGCGCCTTCCTCCTGTCAGCCCGGCAGCTCGGATGGCTGGCATTTTATTATGCGACACGCAGCCCAGGCCACCTTTCCCAAAAATTCGAAGAGGCAATGGAGCAGGGACCCGGGCACAACTTTGACGTTATTAAATTATGCGGAGATTTGCGCACTTTTTTGCTTGTGTTGCTTCCTTATTTTAGGATTTTTTGAAAGCCTCTTGACGTTCTTAATGATGAGCCCAGCTACTTGGCCGCCGACTAGGCCGAAATTAAATTATTTTATTGCCGGAAATTCATTAAATCATGCCTTTATGCAATTTTCAGACTACATTCCCGGCATACCCA